TAAAGAATACTTTAAAAAAAAGTATTCAAGATACTACTCAAATGGTTTTGGTTTTTTTTTAAGAAGGATTATAATTAACATAATATTATAGTCACACAGTTTAGTAGGTTTATAATCTTTTTTATTTAATTAATTAATTAAATTAATATTAATTGCATTTTAAAAATATTATGTTTTCAAAATTTGTATCACTCATGTTTTTTTTTAATACTAATTAAAACTTATAAAACTATTATTAATTTAATATTTTGTTATACACTATAAGTATTTTATAGTTTCAACATAGATTTTACATTATTTTCAAGTCTCAACACTATAAATTTAGTTATTGCTTTTATAGTTTTTATTTTATTTTTCTTGTTTGTCAAATTAAATTAAGTTGTTCTTATTTCTAAAAAAATATTTATGTTAAGTTTCAAATATTTAAATATTAAATAATCATCTATAATATAGATGGTTATTAAAAATATAGATTCTATATTATTACTATCCACAAATGTCTAAAATATAGTATAATATAAGAACCCCTCTCGTCCAACCATAGTATTATCGATATGAATAACTTAAAAATACATACAAAAATTAAACTTCAACACCTATAGATATTTTGTAGATCAAGAAATGGAAGAATATTGCAGCTAAGTCTAGAATGTCATTTACTAAACAAAAATGTATAATTGACTTTTTTCTAAGTAATGTCAAATATAATATATTTCTAATAAAATCTAAGTATGTGATATGCAAATAAAAATGTTCTGTATATTCTGATAATCCGACATTTTTTGCGTTTCGACCACACCTCCAGTCACGAAGGTGATGGTTTAGAGAGGTTGTTCTGTGTTAATTTTATTTTTAAAATATGGTCGAAGCTATACAGAAATCCAATATCTCTCAACTATTTATTAGTTTAATTGGTTCCTATTTTCTTACTTAATTTATAATGTATTGAATTAACAAGTTTTCAGAAACTAAACTAAGGAACACACATTTGGTTATCAATAATAAAGGAGAAATAGCTGAAACTTATCATAAAATACATTTATATGATGTATCAATACCTTCAAAAAACATCCAAGCATTTGAATCAAGTTTAATTGAATCTGGTACTGAAATCTCACCACCAGTTAAAACTCCAATTGGGAATGTTGGTTTAGCAATTGTATCCTTTTCTTTTGTTTTTATTTAATAATTTAGTTAGAATAAATTATACCCATTAATTTATGAAATCGAATTATATTTATAAAAATTTTTTCCATTGAACAATAAAGTGTACAATAAAATTGGTGATTATAATTTTTAAAAACAGTAATTTACACAATTATTTTATAATAAATATTCATTAAATTTAATTTGAAATTATTGACTAATACCATTATTGTTGCATCTGTTCAAAAATATCCTACTAAAATATACCTAGTTATTTTGCATTTATCTAATATGAACCAACCATATATTGGTTCAATAAAATAATAACTGCTTGACAATATACTATTGCTTTAGTTTACTTAACATTAACATTAAAGATCARATTTTTTAAAACATTTAAAATAATTATATTAATAGTCATTAATTATTTATGCATATGACAATATTTCTTTATACAAAAGTTTAGTGTTATGATATGAGATTTTCTCAAATGGCTATAGCATTAGCTGAAAATGGTGCAGACATATTAACTTATCCATCAGCATTTTTCTTCGGAACAGGTGCCTATCATTGGGAAATATTATTGCGAGCCAGAGCCATTGAAACACAAAGTTATGTAATTGCTGCTGCACAAACGGGTAGTCATAGTTCAACTAGAAAATCTTGGGGTCACTCACTGGTTTGTTTGATTACTATTTAATTTGTAAATAGATTTATATTGAACATTGTATAGGTAGTTGATCCACTAGGAACAGTAATAGCACAGTGCTCTGAAGAACCTGGTTTTGTTTTGGCACCAATTGATTTATCATTAATTAAAAGTATTCGCCAGTCAATGCCTTTGGAATGTCATAGACGATATGATATTTACCCAAAAATGATTTCAAATACTTTATGTAGGACTAAGACTATTGAAGATTCCAATGAATTTAAATTTGGTTCATCTATAGTTAAAGGTTTACAAGTATTTTACAAAACGCTATCATGCTTAGCATTTACCAACATTAAATGTGTCTTACCAGGACGTATCCTTTTAAAATTTATTAAAACTATAATTACTTTTAATTTTTTTGTAATATTTTCATTAAGTATCAATAACTAGATGTTTTAGTGGCTCCTCTTAGATCTGTGGAAAAATTGACAGACTTATCTACTAGTGAAGTTATGGATCTATTCCTTGCAGTCCAAAAAGTTCAAAAAACCATTGAACAAGTACACAATACTAATTCATCATCTATTGTTATTCAAGACGGACAACATGCTGGGCAAACCATTAAAGTATGTAATATTAATTTTATTTTAATATATTAGATTATGTGGTTAAATTCTTAGGTATCCCAACACTTCTTGGTTTCTAGTATTAAGTACAAAGTTCTATAAAAAATAGAAAATGTTGTTATCAGATCTGCAGGAATTGTGACCAAAAACTGTTAGTCTACTAAAATATATAGTTTATAAATGTTACCTATTATTATTTTTATTTTCATATCAAAACTAGTTACTTAATTATTTATTTATTATCTTTTAAAATGCTCTTTATACACAAAATTAACATTTAATTTTGGCTATGATCATCATAACACAGAAGCTTAAAAAAAAAAATATTAAAAATTGAATAATATTTGAATCAAAATCCAATTTATTTAGATCCTAAAAATATTAACTATTCAATATTTATTTATTGAAAAATAATTAATTTTAAAAATAAAAAYATTTTTAGTATAAAACTGTTAWTTTAAAAGATATTGAATTAYTAAAATGAGGCCAAGTACAAAAGTATTAATTTAATTGAAACGTTTTATGTTATGGCCATGATCATCAGACATCACAATGTTTTATAAATGTTTATTTTTATTATTAGCATGTTCATGTTCATATTATTMCAAGAAAATCTGGAGATTTTTTGGTCAATGATGATATATACAGAAAATTACAAAATGAAAAAAACTGCATTGATCCAAAGAGAAGCGATGATGAGATGGCACAAGAAGCTAAATTATTAAGATCATTTTTTTAAGCAATTTGATTTAAAAAAATATTGTCATTAGTTGTTTAAATTAAATTATTGCCTTTTACCAACAAACTGTAATACACATATATAAACTTATTTCATAATAAATTGTAATTCATATTTTTTCTCACTTTATTCTTAAACTATTAGGTAATGTATAATGTAATTAAGTCTTTTGTAATGGATACAATAAAAAAAAGTTATAACTAATTTCCTTCAAATAAAAAAAAGGTTTTCCGCAAAAAAATWAAACTATTACCAATTCTTAGAAATATGAAAACATTGAACACGGTTATCATAATTAAATAAAATTTTTTATTGTTACATTTTTTTTTAGGGCGGTACATTAATTATTATAGCTATGATCAACTATTACTTCAAAAAATTAWTATAKTTTAATATTTGGTATGTAACAACACACAATTTAAAGCACACTGATTTTTCAATAAGAAAATTTAATGTTTTCATTTTTGCTTAGATTATTAGGAGATTTTATTCTTTTGAAGAGAAATTCCATAATTTTTATGTATGAAGGAAATGACTTKCTCACATAATAATATTAGGTGTTATGAAGTTAATTTTAAATGGTAACTGTGAAGAATTAATACAAAATAGTGTTAAAACAAATAAATAATATGTTATATAGAATAGGGATGTGATATATATTTAATATAAATTGGTTTTCTTCATAATTTGAAGAAATTCTTCTTGACTGACTTCACCATCACCATCTTTATCTGCTTCATCTATCATTTCCTACAAACATTATATCACAATCAAAAATATATCAAAYAAGTCTTATACTGTTACTTAATAATATAGTTGTATCTAATAATGTAAAATTTGTACTTTAAAGTTTTTTCTAATAAGTTAATTGTACAAAATAATTTTYATTTTTATYAAGCTCTTGCAGTTGTAAGATAATAGTTCGTGGGTACAAATCAAAAGTGGGTTATGATTATATTTATGATGAGTCGCGTTAATTTTTGAAATATTGTTTTATTTTTTTATAGTATAAATACGATTAAAAATTTAAACAAATATGATACAATAATTTATGARAAACTAAATAATGTATTGACTTCAAATTTAGTTTTATCATTAAACATTATCTATTAGTGACATGTTTCCATAATGCAGTCAAACTAAAAGTTATCGCATAGATAGCAATAAAAAAAGGTGATTACCATGTTCTGGAATGCCAACATTTGAATATTTTTCAAAATGAGTCATATTATAAAAAAATTGGGAACTATTAGTATAAATTGTTGTGTACTTGTGTTTTTTTACTTCTGCATATTGGTGGGGAGAAAGTTTTACTTTGGACAACTACTAGGTAGGAACCTATGATAAGAGACTGCCTATGACTAGATTAAAATCAATGAGTTATTTCATTAATCCACTACATCCCCTTGATAAAACAATTAAAATACGTAAATTAAAAGTAGTAAATAATACATTTTTGATTACAACAATTTATATTAACCTGAAGTTCTTCGTCCGCAATATTCTCCCCTAATTCTTGGGCAATACGTTTCAAATTGGAGAATGTTATTTTTCCTGTACAATTATCATCAAACAGTTTAAATGCTTTAATAATTTCTTCTCTTGAATCTTTATCTGCCATTTTTATGGACATCAAAGTGACAAATTCATCATATGTTATGACACCTAAATAATGTTTAAACTTTTATTATTGTTGTTTTAAATTTATCATAATTACTTTAAGGTAGTATTTATAACCTTAAAATTTGATCATTAAAAATATGACTTACCAGTGTGTTGTTTATTTAAGCTAAGCAACATGCGTTTGATTTCTTCTTTTTTTGGTTCAAATCCTAAGGCCCTCATGGCTACCTAAAATATTGATTAATTTAATCATATAAGAATTATAATTTTATGGTAAAAATAATTTCTAACCTACATCTCCACCATACTACCATGCTATGTAACTTCACTGATATCATATAATGACCATAATTAACTATAAAACAGAAAGGATAGCCTTAACCTAAATAAATGTAATTTATTGATGCATCTAAATACCTTTAGCTCTTTGGTTTCGATTGATCCAGATCCATCTACGTTAAACAATTCAAACGCTTCTTTTATATCAGCCATCTGTTTTTCACTGAACTCAAATTTGTTGCCTCCAGACTTTTTCCGGTTTGTGGAAGGCATAGTTATACCAACTTATGTGCTAYCAATAATAACAATAACAATCTAAACAAAAAATATATATCATGTTGTTTGTTGTATAGATCTATACACAATCAATGTCTCAACTGTCCCACTGCTAAATTTTAAGAAATTTTATTTTTAAATCTCCCAAAAGTTAATGGACCGACAACAAAATWAATTAAAACCAGCGTGCCTAGTAGTACGTGCAATTCTGTGTGTATTATTAACAGTGAATTGTGTTCAATATGAAATATGGGAAAAATTCAATAGGATTCCCGGTAGAAATCATGAAACTGACGAGGTGAGGACTCGATCATTCGAAGAGCATACAWAAATCTAACGAGGTAATGGTTGGTGTATGAGTACAAGTCCGATAGGGTCGGTAATGACTGAGTTCACGAGTTACAAGTCACAACTCTGTTCCTCGTGTGGATTTCGGTTTTGTTGCCCTGCTTTTATATCTTWTGAATTACGCGGAAAAAACATTTTCCGTGACTGAAATGAGCGGAACGTTAATTGTATACATCATATCATACGAGTGCGACGTGTGTAAGACAGAGACATTGGACGCGTTTGTAGTGTACAATGGGCCGTGCACACAAACCTAAAGCCGGAGCGGTGGTCGTTAAATCGATAGCGAAAGCCAACGGGTATCGGATGGACACAGTATGGACTGTACGGCGTACTCTACTGCGGCCGAAAACCAAGGACGTCAAATGCTGCTGGCAAATTTTTCTTTTCCAGTTATACTGACGTGAACGATCACTAGGATATCAGCTCTAACTGGATCAATGGCGAGTGATTGGGACGAAGCGGCGCAGCTAGCGGCGCGGTAATCAATATCACACGGCTGATGATCGTAGGGAGCCGACGTTTTCTCGTCGTGTAAACAAATTGTTTATACGTTGGCGACTGGACCGTACCTAGGCAACGCGACGTCGATTGAGAGGTAAAATAAATAGAAACGAAAACGATAGGCGCAAAAGACCGCCCCAAGCCCACAGTCGCTAATGAACAACATTCATTGGGTTCGGTGGAGATCGATTTTATACGTACGGGGGTGGCGGCCTACCGCTGTTGGTAGCCGGGTGGGCTGACGACGAGCGATATCCAGGGAACCTTTAAGTCGTTCCTTACACTGACATTCACCAAATACTATAGATAGTAGTATTTGGATTCACATGACGATGTTCGCCACGACACGTCCTGCACTCAACGGGCCTCGATATTGAATACCGCGATTACTGATTAGCCGACAGTTAACCATTTACACACGGAAGATATTATAATGTTATATTTATCTTAGTCCGTGGTTGATCACGATAAATACGAATTACACTGCCACACTGGCGATTGGCATGGACCAGCGGCGTCTGAGCAGCCCTGCTTAGTGCTTACTAGTCATCACGGACTTAAGATATTATCTCGAGTCGTGCCACGGATTAATATAAATATATATTAATATATTAATTATACTAATCCGTGAGTCGTGCTAGTCATGGATAATAAAGATTTCATTATCTATGTTACTATTATAGTAGTTTAACAAGGTCTACGTCATATTTCATGGTCGGTGATCTCGTGGTTARCAATAACAACAATGATATCGTTATCTGTGCAAGTCGGCACATTGATAACTCCGGAGTACGATCGTTCAGCGCGGCACTCTTGGTACAACAGAATATTACGGACGAGCGAGTTCGTTACGCGATGACATTATGACAATCGCAGTTTGCACTTGCTCAGCATTTCATCCACCGCCGCCGTGACACACTTTTCGTACGTTTCCCTTGCGGCCGATTCGTCGCCTTTTGTTTTCCACCTCTGTGGTCTTCGCGTCGGCACGTCGACCGGTGTGGTGTTTGATTGACGCGGAGTCTTTGAGCACAGCCGCAACCATGAATAGACAGTTGGATCAGCTCACCGACGTGTTCATATCGGACGAGGTGTTGTTGATGTGCCATAATTTGGCGTTGCTCACCGAGAAGGAAGAGGTTGCCGCGCTGCTCATCGGCCAGGTAATATCGTGCTGATGCCAGCATTTGTGTCATCACCTAACTTAGATATGTCCGCTAAATCGGTTTTTTTTGTTTTGTGTTTTTAGAAAATAATACATGAGCGTGGGACTACTGTGTCTGTGTCGGCGTTATCGATACCGCCACGGGGAGAGATCAAAAAAGATCGTGTGGAAATCATGTCTGAAGATTTGGTAAACGCTATGGAAGATGCCAAAAACTTCTCCCGMCTCAAAGGAGCCAACTTGAACGTCATTGGCTGGTATCATTCACATCCTCACATCACTGTGTGGCCATCTAATGTCGGCGAGTATTTTATAATTTTAATTCATGTAGTATATATTAGTAGTACCTATATATCTTGTTGGAAAAAATTTATGCTGGTTCATACTTAGTTAATTTATTAAATTAAATAAGTCAGGATATTGAAAAGGTACAGTTATGAAATGACCAAAGTACAATCTAACAACCATCTTTAGGGATTGTTCCATATTAATAATAATACCTATTATATCTAGCTAATTTTTGGACAGCCCAGTGTTAGGGCTTCTTGTGTTTTTATTATTAATATAAGAATAAATTAACCCTACAKCTAAGAATACATATTTTCTGTGTTAGTGTGTTGTATTTTTATGATATTTCAATATTTTTCAGATATATATAAGCATTTACAAAACAATAAAATATATTATATTGTTATTAGACTATGTARAAGAACTTAAAATTAAAATAGGTGCATAATAAGTTATAACACTACTGTAGTTATTGAATTAAGTACTTAAATTTTAAAAATGTATCAAATTGTTCTAATGCACATACTATAATATGATAAAACTTATTACAATGGCATATTATTTATTTATTACGAACAAATTAAAGYAACATTTAATTTAAATTTTTATAATTTTTCAGATTTGCAAACTCAACTGAACTTACAAAATATGGATTCATGTTTTATCGGAATAATTTGTTCCTCGTATAATACAGATACTACAACAATGGTAAGAAAATAAATTACAAAATTACTTACTTGCATGAATGGCATTTTTTTCACTGGGTTCTGACAAATTGTACACAATAGAAAATAATATTATGATATTTTATTTTAAGTTAGGTATATGGTTGCATTAGTTTGATAAAATCTTAAAATACCTTTTTGTTGTAAATGTGCCATTTGGTAAGATTGTAATATTACATTGTACATTTTTGTTTTAGATGAAAGAAATGAAAACAGTATGCTTTCAAGCAAAACAAATAAGTGGTATGGTGCACAGAATAGATGTTAAATTTCAAGTTGCACCTACAACTTGTACCAGCCAATTGTCATTTGGAGTAATTATTTTTCTATAATTTTATATTTAGTCTRCTAAAATGCATTGATTATACACTAATGATATAAATATAACTTATTCGTRTTTCTGCCATTAGGTAATTGTAAAGCACATAGAAACATTGTATGACGAACTCATAAAAAATTACAATGAAGCAAATGAAGGTGATATAAGTCCAATGGCTCAGCTTCATAACGATTCAGGTAAATGATACCACAAAAATTATAATTTAAGAAATGTATTCTTTCAAAAATATTGTTAACATGTTGTTATGAATTCGACCACTTATGCTTCCATCTAATAAATCACTAAAAAACCCCCCTTTCATATTATTTTGTTCTCCCAATTTTAAATTATATCACAATATTTCCATACATTATTTAATAATTTATATTCTAAAGTTCTTTTACTTTTATTAATTTTGTAGTGAAACTACTAAGTAGTTATTAATGTTTATAGATAAGCATCCTTCCATTTATTTTGACGCCATAATAGAGTTGTTTTCTTATTATACTTACATAATAAATAAATGGAAATTACAGAATGTTTTTAATAATTTGATTTCTAGTATACACATTGTCTGGAATACATATGCTGGAAACAGTGGCTAAGCCTATGCTGCAAATGTTAGAAACACAGCGAGAAAGTTCAACTAAAAGAATTCAAAGCCTTCAAATAAAATTAGAACAACTATCATTAGGTATTAATGATGAACATTATTGTGACGGTACCAATAAAACTTATGATAATCAAGAAAATAGCGATGATTCCGACAACAGCTTGAGTACATCTGTACCAACAATTGATMATTCTAAAGAAACAAAAAAAGGGAAGAACTCTAGTATGGTATCCTCTCCAGTGTAAACTCGTTAATAATAAGTAGCTTAAATAGAATCCTACTTAATGAATTTAATAACTATTTTATCATTACCTGTTATTTTGTTTAAAAATATATAATATGTATTGTACATAAAGTATGTATTTTTATTGCCTTTAGTCCTCAATTTCCACTTACTACGATCCTTAGCATCCTCCTCACAAATACCAGTTATTCTCAAATTGCACTTTATAACTTCAAACTATCTCTTCTGTATCTTAATTCAATGAATTTGGATTTTTCAAATGTACAAATAAATAATATCAGGGTTGTAAATTAAATTCACTATTAACAATGCTATATAAATCAATATAGAGACATAATTAGTACATTACATTTATAAAACGACAAAATGTATATATTTTTAATCAATAATAAAAAGTWTAGTAAGGGACAAATGTACTTTGTCAATAACTAGATCACTAATAGTGTAATGGATGTATAAGATGTGTTGAACTTGAATTCATTGATAGATACTGATTGATGGTCTGTTTGCCTATGTAACTAAGTATATTTTATCACATATTTTCATTGTTATTTGTGTTATTTATTTTGCTATAAGTAATATAGCCATAAATATGCAGTAGCTTAAAAAAATGTGTATATATTGAAAATGTCATTGCTTACAATAAAATATAATAATATAAGTAAAAATTAACATAAATATATTTTTGAATTAAGACRAAAATATAAAAACTGTTGATTTTTAAGAGGACGTTATATCCTCAYGTGTTGTCTCCTTCTTATAAGGGAGATCATGGCAAATTTTAAGCTCAACAGATTACTTTTAGAGTATTATATTATAATTTTTATTATTTATTGACATATTATAATTTTACTTTAACTATAGGTTTCTGAATCTACTTACCTTTTTACAATATTTTCATTTTCTCAGAATTAATAATCATTGAATTTGTTATATCTAGGTGCTAGGTCACAGATTTTCACAAGAATATATAATTTTATTGAATTCAAATTTCTCAAATCTGATTTAAGATAAGCACGTTTCATTACATCCTGAATGATAAGAGACTTTATTTTACAAATGTTCACATATTTTGATATAAATACATATTTCATACCTAGGTATACGGTTTTTATTTGTATTAAACATTTTATATTGGAATATGGAAATATTATTCAATTGGCTTCTATTAATATATGGAGTTGTAATAAATTAGAGGTAACTTATAAAGCTCGTTAGTGCAAGATTACAATTTGTGATGTCACCATATCGGGTAAACAGTGATGACAGTGTAGTATCTAGTAGAAATCTCTTAATTATACACTATATGTACAATTCTATTTTAAGACCTAACCGCTATAGTGCTACACATTCAAATTTAAAATCAACAAATGTACATTGTATCCAATTGTTTCAAAAAAGACAACAACGAAGACAATTWGATGAACTAAATTAAATTAATAAATGTAGGTAAACTATCGATTTTTTTCTAAATTTGATTTTTGTTTTTTTAAATATTTCACGTTTTATAATGCATATTTTTCCAAAAATAAGAACAAATAGTAAAATTTTGACTTTTTTATTACATAAAAATCCTCGGCCTATTCATATCTATTTCAGACTTTTGCAAATAAACTTAATAAACTTTATTTCAAAATTTGATCATAAAGTCTAGAGGCCCAAATTAATACCAAGAGTCCTGATTTGCTACATGGTCCAACCCTGACTTACAGTCTATCCCTCAAATGTCCAACCAACAAGGTTTATATGGCGTCTGACCATTGCATTTTTTAATTTAAATCATTAAAAGGACATAAGAAATATAATTTATCTCTTACAAAGTATTTAATACAATATACTTGACATATTATATTTAGACATTAAATTAAGAACACCAACAATTAATACATACTGTCAGGTAGTTTAATTTGGTAATAAAATGATTTACAACACCGAATTTAACACCAATATTATATACATATTTAAGTATATAATATAATATAAATTTAAAATTAACACRATCCTTAATTGTATTACTTATAATTAAATAAATCATACATGAAGATATTTTACTTAATTTTGAACACAATATTATAGAGAAGAGTTCATTATAATTTTGTTTAAAGACATATTTATTTAATCAATTAACAATACATACCAAAATGTCTCAGACACAGGAGTTTCCAGTCAGCCAGMTCAAGTATACCTCTACTTTAAACTAACTACAGTACATAATGATTTGTGTAAAAACCAGTTGAACAATTTACACCAACTTGTAGCATAAAAATTAAATATTATGCAATTAAGTAATTAATTAATTACAGTAAACCAATTAAATATACAAAGACTATGTGTTAAAACTACCAACYAAGTAATTAGAAAAATGTAACATTAGATGGGGTCGGATAACAATACAAGGAGGGTTACTAGGGTATTTCAGCATATCCGAGACATTTGGACAGCATATTATTATCATAAATAATTTATTGTTAACAGTTCTTAATTTAAAAACATAATGCAATAATAAAATAATATGATGAAATGTTTAATAGTACTTTTTAGACAAATAAACAAAATTGCACGTGAACTTTCTCATCTCAATCTAAATAACATTCATTTTTTTACTGTAAGATAACAATTAGAATTCAACAATCGACATTCTTTATTTAACTAATATTATTATTATCAGGCGATTGCCAATTCAACTTTGATCATTTTGGAATTTATAAATCATCTTATGTCTTCAATAAACAGTGCATTGTATCTAATATTTAATATTTATTTAAATTSAGATTTTACAAAAGAAAATTTATAAAATACTTGTACATTATATAATGTACATATGTATTCTAAAAATACCATTAAACTTTCCAGATAACTATTAATAATATATACCACAGATAAACAAATAACTATGAAATGTATAATATAAATAATAATAATAATAATAAATAATAATTATATTAATTAAACAACATACAAAATAATAGTATAATTTTACAACATTGTTTTCTTACAAAATCTATATTGAAACATTAAATCTTAGTGGGAATGTATATGGGACAAGAAACAAATTAATTTCAATATAAATACAAATTCAATAACATTTTGATTTAAAAAATAAAAATCATACAATAGTTATTAATATATCGTTATAATTAAAAAAGTGCCACTTTTAGATAAAATGTTACATTATATTTATAAAAATAATAACTAAATATGAAATGACAATATTTATCTTTAAATCAATTTGTAAAAATAATTTATAGAAGATGAAATTCTTTCAAAATTTCTATGGTTTGTTACATACATTTAATTGATCGCTTAAATTTGGCTATCCATTTTTTGTTTTCTTTTATATGATATATTTTAAGTTCTTTTTATAATGCTAAATAGATATTTTTTTAGCAAATGATGAAAAAATTCTAACCGAGATTTTCACAATTGCCAGTTTGTAATATGGCTTTTTTAAATTATTATTTATCGGGATCAGTATACTCGTGTATAATATTTATATTATTATATACAATATTTGAAAATTATTGATATTAACAGTAAAGAACCTATATTTTTTTTTCAAAAAATTGCCTTGCATAACTTAGAAAATTAAAGTATACAAAATCAGAAAAAATATTCAACTTTGTAGTTTTCTTTAAGAGGACGCCACACCCGCATGTGTTGTCTGCATCATACAAATGAGTAACATGGCAAATTTTATGATCAGCAGTTCCAATTTATCTCTGTTAATTTAAAATTTTGAGTGAATTGACCTCATATTAACCATCAATTTTTATAAGAGGTCAATTCACACTAAATTTTATCTAACGTAGATGAACTACTGAGCATAAATTTTGTTATGTTACGCACTTGTAAGACGGAGACAACACATGCGAACGTGGCATCCTCTTAAGTAAACAAGAATACAAAATTTCAATAAYCGTATACCGCAAACAAATAGCAATTTCACTCAATAAACCAATATGGTTTGGTTTACATTAATAAACAACTCCAATAGTTTGTTACTAAATTTGACAAGTAAGAATTGAAATATTTTATGATTTAACATTTAATAATAAATATAAGACTTTGCTAGTCATTAAAAATATAACAATCAAATGTTGCCAATTAAACAACTATTACAATACATTAGACACTATGAAATACGGTAATTTTTTTTTTAACTAATCACAATTTGTAATAAATTAATAAACATAAAATATAAATATATCGAGATTTCATAAAGAAAATATTGGGTTCGCCAATTGGAATTAGTTAAAAAAAACATGAATTAAAATTTTACAACTAAATGGCAAAATTATAAACAAATAAAATGAATTTATATTTGATGTAAATTATTATATAAGTATGTAATAATTACAGTAGTAGTTATTATTATGTAAGCATTAGCTTACATTAAGCTGTAATCATTTATTATACGTAATTAAATTACAAAAAAATAATACATTCATAATATTTATTTTTTAATTCATTAAAACATGAATTTAAAAATATTAATAAATTTATATTCTGTAATATTGAACAGAAATAATTATCAAAATAAAACACAGTTATTCTAAATGTAGAAGTCCCAAAAAACATAACAAAAACATTTTAAACAAAATGTTAGTGCTCTTGAAAAATAATAGTTTAACCTCAGTCATTATCGATATGGGTGCATAGTTGTTGAATAGATAGAGAGAATACCTATTTTAATGACATAACCTTTATGTTGTATCTGGTTTAAAATTTTTCCTAAAATATACATGCAATAATACCATACATTTTAATTATATCATAATATATTGAATAACCTCATATTCATATTAGTTGTATAAATATAAATATTTAGATTTTATTGTTTGGGAACCATGAAATTTCAAAAAAATGACAGAAAAAATATGTATTTTATTGCACAGATTTTTATGAAAATCTCAAGCTATCATAATAATTTTTACTATTGGATGTAATWATCCGATTGGTCACAATCCTTTTCAAAACGTTTGGCTCCCTCTTGCATACTTTCGTTTATTTTCAATATTGCAGCGAATTCAGTCTGATCCTAAATATCGCATCAAAATAAATGTTAGGTACTTTGAGATATAAAAATGTACCCTTAATGAAATGTAAACGGTCACCGTTTTACAACATTGATAACTATAAGAACACAAGTAATAATACCAGAATTAAGGAATAGTGATGATTAGGGTCCGGATTTATATGCAATAAAAATCTATAAAATATTTAGATTCATATCATTAATATGCGAAAAAATATGAAAAATTAATTTTTTTCAAATAATCAAACTAGACGGTTATGTGTAAAAATATTACACAATCTAAATATATGTATAATGAGTTAATAAAAAATAAAAAATGCAAAATATAAATGTTTAACGACATGTGCAGAATGTCTACATATACTGTTATCTAATGTAGTCACGCAATTAAAAATTTACCACTAGAAAATCTGATATTTTTTGTTATTTGTCGATAACTTATCAATGTACATTATCATGGGTTATTTACGATTAACAATAGGTATTTGTATTTTGTACAAACCAAAAAGGTTGAGAAACATTGAACTAAAAAATAGGTAATGGATTTAAATAATATCTGTTTAGATTTACAAATCTGAATAAAAATGTTAAAGAAAATAATATAATACCCAGACCATAATAATACCATGTAATTGTAAACAGATGTACGTATTAACTCTATAAACAACCAATTAAAATTCAGGCACATTACACTGACGCGGTTTATAGCATTTTTAAAAGTTATTTCATGTCTTTAATACTTTTTTGGGAATCTACAATRTGCATAACTCAAAGAGATTTTAATAWACACTTAAATTATGACAAACTATTGATTATAAATTTAGAAAAATTGGACAAGACAAATAATAATCTGATAACGGTGAGATAAAAAAAATGGTGAACAATACTTAAGGTTTCAGAAAAAATTTAAATGCATTTTAGTACTAAATTAATAAAAAAAAGTTAAATTCTACATTTTGTTTTTATAAATGTAAATTGTAATATTATTTTCAACTTAATATTTCTTAGTCACCATACAGTTATCATCACACCTTAATCAGTATGTAGTTCATCGACTGTCTTCAATGTCCATAAACTAATATATATCCAGGCCAATTACATTTTCTCCCGCTCCTCCAAATCCTGACAAATTATAATCGCCCATGCCACTCCCACTATCTTCTCTTGGTGTCCCTGGGCCACCTGGTGCAGGTGAATTTTTCATACCATCTAATCCTTCGCCATTCAAAACCGAATTCATCGCATTAGGACCCATTGGTCCTAGCGGTCCACTGTCTGATGCATTATTCATTGGAAAATCCTGGAAAAGATTTTTTTTTATTATTATTTTGAGGATACAATATTAAAGTATAACAAAATACATAATTGTAAAATTTTTCTTAATTTATAACTTACACCAGGCATATTCCCTCCAGTAACCGGCTTCATCATTGTGTACATACTTTCTCCACCAGAGTTTGAAGAATCTTGAACATTATTGCTCAAATTAAGATCAAAAACTAAATGAACTACCTATTTTTATTTATTTTACCTTGAGGACTTTGCATTATTGGTGTGCCTGGTCCAGGAGGGCCGCCTGAACCCGAGGGTCCCTAAATAATAGTTTATATAAAAACTAAATCTCTTTTTACCAATACTTTTACTCAATCGTAGTTTAAACTATTATAACTCAGTAGTATAAATACCTACAGGTAAACTAATCTAATTTAATTAAAAATAATTGGCTATGTATTTTTAATATCAAATATTTAACTGTAACTTTTAAACTTACTCCATAAGCTCCTGGCGATGATGATGAATAACTCATGGGCTGAAAAAATATTAATCAAACATTTTGATTAGTTCAATAAAAATAATTATCTATTTTTGCATATATTAAAATTTATTTATTACAATTCATATTATATAGTTCTGACAAAAATAATTGATTAAGCTAAAAAGCAAAATAAAGCTATTTATGTATAAAATTAAAACTAATCATATAACAAAACTATTGAATTATCTTTAATTGATTGATTATAGCTATTTTTTATAAGTACGACAAAAATCTATATTTTATAGAAATAACAAGAAGACAAGAACAATAAATCAATAGTGAAATTATGGTTTGTTTAATTATTAATTGATTCAGACTATTGAGGCGATTCTATATCACAATTTAGCTCTAACATGATCCGTGTCAGCTATTACAGTTTTAAGTACAAAAATATTACAAGTTATTTCTAATTATTTTAAATTTTATTAGTCTAATTTTTAAAATTTCCAACAATTTTGCTTCATAAATCTTAATATACATATAAATCATACGGCCTTTAAATAAGAAATTATAAGATCTCTGCAAATATAAGTATTATATTAGAAACAATTATATCATGTTTAGCTGTAATAATTGACATTCACAGATTTAAGTAGATATAAGTAGGTAATTTATAACAGGTAGTAAAAATAAACAAGCTGAAAAAGGTAAATAGTTGACTAAGGTTGGTTTAACAGATGTAACATTCTGTGGAGGACTGGTTATGGTCACGTGAGGTGAGATGGGTAGAAATAGAGTAAAGGGAATGGTGTCTCATAGAGTGGGAGGGAACGTGAAATAAAATAGTAGCTAGTAAGAAGGGTTATCAACCCTGTTGAGTTGTGATGWGATGAACATAATGAGTGATTACAGTGTGAGATCAKGGTTGAGATATTAAGAGTGGAGTGGATAATATGGGGTATGAGGGGTATGGGGTCATGAGGTATGTGTTCAATTTTCAATAAAAAGGCAATTAAAGATAGAAAGTGATTTTGTACTCTTTCAAGGCGCAATAGATCATATGCTAGATATGGAAACAGGATGACCGATACATAGGTACTCAAGAATGGAATGTACAAGCTTAAAGTAGAGGGTACGGAGATAAAGAGGGTTGTGTTGCATTTGATGAATCCAAGGATCTTAAATAACACAGCTTAATTAACACCTTTTGCCAAAAATATTGTTTTCAAATATATCTATCATTGGTTTTAAGTTGAAAGCAGTTTCTGAGTATCGGATATCATAAAAAGTGGTATTGGACTATCCCTACATTTAATATTATTAATAAGAAGGCAGCATAAAAAAGCAATTAAATAAAATGGCAGTATTAAAATTCTATATAATACAATATATAATAAGCTCCTCGTGGAAGTAATGTTATAACTCTGGTTTTTAAGCAATAAGCAAACTATTTTTATTTTTATAAGAACAATGATTATGTTTATCCAATGATAGTTAAGACAGTACAGTTTTGCTTGCTTGATATGTATTTATACAATTTTATTTTAGCCTTATCTATGACGATTAAATCAATAATACTATTAAGTAGTTATTATTATCTTTTAAAAATTTAAAAAAATAGAATACTCACAGTATTTGTATTTGGTTGCCATTGTGGCCTTCCAACAAGTCCACCCATAGATAAAGGCATATTAGGTCCACCACCTCCACCAGGACCCAAGGTTGTGTTAGGTGGAGGCCCACGCATTCCAGGGCTATATGATCCTAATGGACTCATATTTTGAGTGTTTTGACCACGAGGAGGATTCATTCGAGGATTCATTGGTCCCATACCACCTGTGCATAAAATAAATAAAACTCTTAAAAAAAAAATGAATTTATGTCATATATTATAAATTAAATTTCATAAGCAACAACTAATTATAAAATTAATATAATGAACAAACATAATACATTGACATACAGTTCTTATATCTTGAATATTAATACGGTTTATGTTTCCTTAATATATTAAATTAATATACTTTCAATTAAAATAAACACACAATTGTGAAATGATAAAAAAACAATTTCAACATTTGAATTAACTAAAAAATACAAGTTCAATTAAATAAAAATTTAAGCAAACTTATTAGAAAAATGTATCAATCAAAACTATTTAATAACTACATAATAAAATAATACTAAACAATTATTTTTTGAAATACAATTTGATAAATTTTTTAATTAAAAAAATAGAAATCATTAGACTACTTAGTAACAAAAAAAATAAACCTTATAAGTGAATCTAGAAAAAAAGTCAGATGATAAAATATATACAAAACATAAATATAAATTCCCTTCGTTCCATATAGTATAAATTAACTTGTTTTATAACGTAAATAATGTTAAAATAAGTCAGAGAAATTAGACAATTTCAACATAAAAATAAAATTAATGGACTGATGTAGTTAATTATCGTGTACAATGAAAAATGAATCTAAGTAGAGACCATAAACCCATAGTTCTGAAGATACTCTATCTACAGTGAAACGTGCTCATAAGGAACACTAACAGAACCTTTAAAAATGTCTGTTATAGAGAAGTTAGTAAGAGTACGATAAAGTTTCTGGCCATGTCAATATTWTTGCCAGCACCTTAATATTTTATTCGTTTAGGARAAGAGGTATCTGTTAGACAGATCTTACTGTACTTATAATATTTGAATTTTATAATGCTCAAATAAACTGTAATATTCAACACTAATCAATGGAAAACAATATTTTTATATTAATTCAAAAGTAGAATATTTTTCAAGCATTATTGCTACAGACTTATTGTTATTTATATAATAAAATCAKTTAATGTTTTGATGCAGTTTAGGAAATCGTAGAATACTTCATAAAGTCCAAAATTAAAAAATATTATTTATAACAACCTTACTTTATAAATAGGTAAGAAAAAATTATTATTTTTACTTTCTTCTAATGAAATAATCTMAAATTTAATAATATCATATTTTTACTATATCTTATAAAAATTGTGTTTCGTACATCATACATAACAAAATAAATTTTATATATCTTTAAATAATAATAAAAGTTATAAAGACTATTTTACATTTATTGAAATTTTAAAATCGCATCTGAATTTAAATCTTGAACCAAAAAATTACTACAGTAAAACAATTTCAAGTTAAACATGGAATAAGTAAAATTTTGTTTTAATGAAATTAATGTTTATCTTAATAAATTAAAAGAAAATATTTTATAAATCTATAAATATATCGTTGAAAAAAATTCCATCTTCTTAAAGTAACAAATAATAACTTAGGAAATCAATCTAGCGATTTAAAACTAATAAACTACAAAAAGTGATGGAAATGATTTTTAAATTCATAACACACATTTTAATAACTTAACAACATCAAACACACATATTATAGTGAATGAAAATAAATTAAAGATAYATCAAGGGAAATGACAGTTGTCAAATCAAATTATTTTTATAATGGATGAATAAATTTCATTTTTTTTATGATGAAAACYATTAAAAACTAAAATCTATAATTTACATTTTAAACATGATTGCACAAAAATCCATTTTTTTTTTCATTAAATTTTATAACTGCCATTTCTCTTAAGCGGACATAACACCCGCATTTGTTGTCTCAGTCTTACAAACGCGATAAAAATGCTTTAACTCACTAAAAAACTGAATTACCCTAAAAATACTTAATAACTAACTGATAATGTTCTTAGCATCAAGTTTTGTAATAGGTCTATTCATTCTAATTTTTAAGCTAACAAAGTAAAATGCGAAAATAAATTTGATATGTTAAGCGTTTGTAAAACTGAGACTACAAATATGGATGTTGCGACCTTTTAAGAGGACGCCATACCCGCATGTGTTGTCTCCGTCGTACAAATGCGTAGCATAGCAAATTTTACGCTCAGCAGATCACGTTTAGCTCCGTTAATTTAAAATTTAGAGTGAATTGACCTATTATAAAAATTAAAGGTAAGATTATTACCGAGGGCATCTCATAAGCTTTTTATTTTATTTTTTTTTTTAACCGAGTTATGAGTATTTTAAAATTATAAATTATTTTTATATCTAAAAATACTCATAACTCGGTTTAAAATWAAAATATWATAAAAAGCYTATGAGATKCCCTCGGTAATAATCTTGCCTTTAATTTTTATAATAAGTCAATTCACTCTAAATTTTAAATTAACGGAGATAATCGTGATCTGCTGAGCGTAAAATTTGCTGTGCTACGCACTTGTACGACGGAGACAACACATGCGAGTGTGGCGTCCTCTTAAGAGTATGTAACAGTGGAATTTGTTGTCTCCGTCTTACCAGTGWGTAATATAGCAAATTTACGCTCAGCAGAACACTTGTAGCTACTTTAGTTTAAAAATTACAGTGAATCGACCTATTATGAAACTTGATGGTAAGAACATTATCTGTGTTTGCACGTTGGTTTTTTACGATAATTTAATTTTTAAGAGAGTTATGAGCATATAATATACAGTACTTTAAAAATGCTCATAACTCACTTAAWGATTGAATTATCCTTAAAGACGAACGTACAAACACAGATTCTTACCATCAAGTTTCATAATAGGTCGATTCACTGTAATTTTTAAACTAAAGGAGTTACAAGTGTTCTGCTGATCGTAAATTTTCCATATTACACTTTGGTAAGACGGAGACAACAWATACCACTGTTACGTACTCTTAACAATTTGAATTGTTATTACCATGCTTTTTTTGAAAAAAATTTTATTGATCATAATAATCACTTTGAAATATGTATTCAATACAAACATTCCAATAATAAAATTAAAGAATAAAGGTCTTGAGTTTTAAAAGATTAAACATTGATTCYAATAAAAACAAACAGTGTTATTTTATTACCATTATAACATAAACTATAAAATATTTGAGTTACGAAATATTGTGCATAATAAAATTTAATTAATACTGGCCTACCTTGCCAACCTACAACATATTCTCCAGCTTCACCTACAGGAGAAAAAATTATCAAGCAAATTATTGATTAATTATATAATTTATACTTTCATAATTAATTTATAAAAATCAGTTAAATAAACCTAATTTCACATCATTTTTAATAATTAATTGTAATTTCGCATTAGAYATAAAAGGTGATAAAATGTTAATTACTATTAAATAGTTTACCTTGTCTTAAAGGGTCCATGCCTGGCATCATTGGCTGACCTGTAGGCTAAAATATGAGTTATTTAATAATTTTAAAGTTACTCAGATATTATAGTGGTAATTTTATAATTAAAAACTTACAGAATTAAAATCATTTCCTAATTGTGACATGCGAATTCCAGGCCTTGGACCACCCGGATATCGAGGACCCATAAAAGGCTAAAATAAAAGAAAGTATTAACATTTAAATTTGAATTGTACCTTGAGCAATTAATTATTTAAAACAAAATTATCAATAACAAACCTGATTTGATAACATTTGTCCATGTGATGGAGGTTGAGAATGAGATTGTTGTGCTGAAGGATGACTTGGAGGTGATGGTCTCATTGATGAATTCTAATATTTATACAAATAATTTTTTTGTTTTTTATCATAAATTACTGCCATTCAATTTTACAAATTATTTTAAAATATACGAACTGGGAAAAATCCTCCAGGCATTGGCCCTCCAGGCATTCCATCATTTTGGGGCATTTGTCCTAAAGGACTAGGAGAAGGTCCAGCGTTCTATAAATAAATGTATTTAATTTAATTGTCTTGTTTATATTAATTAACAAAAATTAATATTTAGAGGTCAATAATACTTACATGTGTAATACCATTTACACCATAACCTGAATTCACAAAACCCTAAAAAATGTTTAATCCGTATAACTATAATACATATATTTATATTGGTTATCTTTGTAAATATTTAAATACACACATAGTCATGAAATGCTTTAGCTTCACTTGAATGTTCACATGTATCACGGCGTTCTGGAGCAGCACAATATAAATCCCAAAATACACTAAAAATATAAGGCAAGTTAATCATAAAAKAATTTAGAAAGATCAYTTTCATAAGTGAAAATGGTATAGCTTTATATAGTTTTCTGGAACGTATGATTTATATAAATTTTTGTTAAATTTTAAAACAATAAATTATTAGTATAAAAGATTTAAGAATGACTATGCTTACCAAAAAACATATACATAAATAATCAAAATTTAAGTCTACTTTTAGCCATCATAATTTAATTTTAGTGATAAATACATAACTGTATCTGACAATGAAAAAAATATAAAATGAATATAAAATAATTTTTAAAATGTTTCATCAAAATATGATTGACATAAACCTAATGAAAAATTTAAGAACATTTTAATTAATATAATAAATTGAAGCACACTCACATAATAGTAGAGTTAAAAAAAAAAACATGAATTATAGAAAGTTGCAATCATTTTTAATGTACCAGGAGATGTCAGTATCAAAAAAAAAAAAAAAAAAACATGAATTATAGAAAGTTGCAATCATTTTTAATGTACCAGGAGATGTCAGTATCATTATAATTTTTGTATAATTTGTTATGAAATTAAAAAAAATAAAATAAATATATGTATATATACTGATTGAGATACTATCACTGGATTAACATAAAAAAATATAAGATATATGTCAGCCACTTTGTTTATCATATAACTTTATGTACAGATTGTACATGTTGTTAAAATTGTAATAAAAAAAAAAAATTAAATTTATATACTTTATAGTACTTACCACCACCAAGAATGCAGGAATCCTGGTGGTTCACCTAATGTGATATTCTTTTCCCATCTAATCTAAAGCAATAATCATAAATGACTCATATTAATACACGATTTATAAACTTAAAAACATTAATGAATAAATACCTACTATTAACATATTTTGCCAAATATACAGACATACTAAAGTAATGCAATACAAAAATTAAATTTTAATCAGCTACTCACTTCATTTAAAAATGTTTGAGCTGCTTTTTGGGCTCCAATATGTAATAAATACTCATAAACATATAATGCTAACCTAAAACAATACATATATAAATTTATTCCAAATATTCATAGTTWTATAAATACAATTACAATTATATTTTAATTTATAATATTATTAAGTAAAATTACAAAATATATAAGCATCTGTCCAACTCTTTTTTTCAGAATTTATGGTTTAATTTGTCATCTACTAAAACTCATATTTAAGATTTTAGAAGGTTTAGTTTTTAATCAAATACTTGACAYACTTTCAATTAATTTTGACCAATAGAAAAGAGATTCCTTGCAACTAAGAAAACACCAACAACATTAATTCTTTAATATTCTAATAACCCTTGGAAATCTCCACACTGTTTATTGACAATTAGTATCAGCAGTAAATGCCCTACTTCTAMCTCCCTTTCCAAATACACTATTAAATACAAGTGATTAAAGTATTGTACTAAAAAATAACCAAAATATTATACTAATATTCACTTTTATATTAATAACTAAATAATATAATATGTTATATACTTATATCATACATATTATTTACTACTCCACATCTCCTTAAAAAAATATTATACCTGGATGTAGTAAAATAAAAGATAAATTTATTTTATATTAATAAAATTAAGTATATCATAACTTTTTACATGCATTACAAGAAAATTAAATCAATAAGATGTCATTATTTTGATGGATTTTTATTTTAATGTTAATAAATTTGTTTAAATTAGAAATCAAGTTATAGTTTAGGATTGATGATGAATATATAAGAATTTATAAATTAACATAAACAGAAAAGTATTTATACAAAAGTAATTAAAAACTGAGACAATACAGAATCAGGCCAATCTATCTTTCCATTTTATAGTCAATAGAATAGGCAAGTAGAGTTTAATTTTGTATGCTTATACATATTATTTATAGCTGGGGAGCAAGAAGGACCAATGTCATATTTGGAAAAATTATTTAACAAATGTAATTACTCATTAAAATTTGATTATGTAACATGTGTTAAAAATATAATATATAATATTAAGGGTCTACAATAAGCACRATATGGGTTCTTTAAAATCAATCAATCAAGTTTGTAGACATAAATAAGTTACTTAAATTATAATTTATGTGTAATTGAATATTATCATTAGGTTTTAGTAAAAATAATAAGTTGTTTAGTTATTCAAATGTATTTATTTTAAATTTAAATGCTTGACCATGTCAGATATTAATAATATTAATGATCCATCAAGGTTAATGTGAAGATAAAGTTAAGACATTTTCTTGTTTTGTCAAACACAAATGTTTCATTAAAGTAAGAACAAAAAATAAATGTAGTAATTAAAATTTCAACTGTAACATCARACTCAAAATATTTATTGTTTTTATATATTTCTATTAGCCCTTCTTGCATCAAGCCATAAATATTTATTACAAATTGTCACGAAAAGATAGTTTTTATATACATAATTATTTTACTTATTCAATTCAGATTATTGATAAACCAAATATTAACTTTTATTCATTAAGGTGACTACAGTTATCATACAAAAAGGTTGTAGACCTAACCTGACATGATTGCTAGATTTCAGTATTGAATCATTTTACCTATGTTTACTGTGTATTAATTGAAACAATTTTATTGTTTGTTTTTTCAGCAAAAAAATCAGAAAATTTAAAAATTGTATTTTAATATTTTAATATTGTAGGTATTTTAAATTTACAACACATAAACAGCATTTGAAATACAAAAATTGATTCGATTAAAACATACTTAACTTATATAATTTAAGTACTTCAAATTGTAATCCATTTTTTTTTAATTACATTTAATATGTTCTYGCCTAAGTTTTTGCCTCAACCTAATTAATTTGTTTCAAAATCCAAAACTTAGTATATACTCAATATTTATAACTAAAGTATAAAACTAAAATTTTATGAGTGACTTATAAAATTTAATGATAAATATCAATGTTATTCAAAATGTTCAGTAGTTTTTGATCAGTGGYGTGTTTAGGGGGTGGGCCTGGTAGGCATGTGCCCACCCACATTTTTATATAAGTACTAGACTAGTATGTAAGTCCGATGCTCAATGAAATTTTAGTATGAGGAGGGGGTAAAACCATTCAGAACTTAATATTTGTGGCCCATCCACAAAAAAAGTTCTGGACACGTCACTGTTTTTGATGAGCAATGGACAAGACATTACCTAAGATAAATTTCTAGCAACTATTTAAAACATGAATGCTTTAAATAATCATTTATTTCACAATATGCGCATAGAGTGTGATAACTTATTATAGTAGAGAACATAATACTTTAATTCATTAATAAGTAGGTATACAGATTATAATTATATCAACAATAATTGATAGATGATTCAAAATATTGTTTTTTTGGAGTTTTTAAAGATATAATAAGCATAGGTAAAACAAAAATAAAGATAATTCTTAAAAGTTCAAAGGTTCTATTACTTWAATAGTTAATACACTACTTAATAAACCATAAACACATATGATAAACCTGGGAATTACCTTTAATCAATAAGCTCATTAATACCATAATTAATTATAAACACATAAATAGTATTCCTATAAAAATAAATAATGAAAATAACCATACAAAATTGTTAAGTCCGCATATCTAAAAGTATAACTGTCTAAACTAGGAATGAAAATAACAACTCACTTTTCTCTGGCCTGAGCATCAGATGGCACTGTAGCGCCCTTTCCTTTTGCATACATCTCAAGTTATATTAGTTAAATAACTTTGGCCTCAAATAAAATCTGCGATTAACGCAGCAACAAAATAAACCACACTATGCAGACACTGACAGCAACACGATAGTTGTCATTGCAGGGTATGTTTATTTGGTAGTCTTCAAGCACGTTCAGACAATTGTGTGGTGTTTTTGTTCAGTTACTTTGTAAATCAGCACCTGACAAGTGAAAAAACTTCTCGACGTGTCTTGAGTCCTCTGCTTTCGATTTGTGCGTCAGATAAACTTCAAATCAAGCGATTCAAAACAACGATTACACGAAATGAACGACAGATGATCCAAAATTCGACGGTCAAGGAAATTAAGAGATACAAAAATTACTTCTCGACGCACAATTACGAAAACGGTTTTGCTCCAGAATACAATGTACACTCGATCAGCGGAGTACGTATTTCTAATAAACTTACACGTTTACGGTTCTGATTATATTATATTTTTATTGGTGAACGGGCAAATGGACGGGATGAAAAGAACGCGGAAATGGTAAAACAAATAACATATATTTGAAAGCATAAAAAGCACTGTTATATTTTCCTCCCCGAAAAATTAAATCGATGCAGAGAAAAATATCGGCGCATTACCTGCGATCGAGGTGCAGTGGGTAGAGTAGAGACGACGTCTAAGATAGTTACTTCCGAAAATGATAATAATCAAACATTGATAAATGGCYGCGGTGTTGCCAACCATCCGGGCCACACACTTCCGCTATTCACTATTATCGCCTATCCCTTCACCATAAGTATGTCCCGCCAACAATACTRCAGCTACTGCTATGCTGCAAAAGATCAGCGGCCAATGACCGAGAAAAACGGGAAACGAAACAATAAAAAAAAATTACCAAAATAATATTATCACCGGTAGGCAGTGTTTCTATTTCCCTACTCATTCTATACGGCCAAAATTAAGCGTAGTATCGTTCTCACTGTATATATATATACACAAATACGTACATGGCGAGGTGCTCGGATTTTTAAAATTAAAATACAAGAGGCATTTTTTCAATCAACCTATCAGACTCTTGTTTCATGTATATAATCCACAAATTAAAAAAAAAAATTGTTCCTAATATTATTGTAGTTTTATCATCTTCATACAAATAATATATATTTTAGAAAATAGGTAAATAGGTAGGTAGGTAATAAGAAATATTTGTAGGAACATTATGTAGGATACATGAATTTTTCATTGAACGTTTATAACTAGGTATTAGAGTTTTCTATCGATACACYATAAAATGTACAAAATATTTTTATTTGATTATTGTAATGAAAAATTCTAAAACTTGAAAATTAAATATAAGGTTTCTCATCAGCTGTTAATAGTAGGTATAAACTTAATAAAAAGATGATCGTAAAATCACAAAAAAAATTTATGATTGTCTGAAGTTAAAATATTTATAAAATTTGCCAATTATTTTGAGTAAAAATATCATAAAAATGTTATTTCTATATACCTAATATAAGAATTGAAAATGTTATACAAAAGACTTTAATATTTTTTTATTTATACATTATAACAAWTAAAAAAACGGGTAAGTGGATGTCGCTCTGCTGTACATTAGGGGGTTGGGTGGACCTCAGACTAAGGTAGGTTAAATTTGAATGAAATGATAGGTATCATTATATACGCAAAACGATTCTGAACGGAGATGATTTGTCAGTCTAGGATATATTATATTTAAATATTGTCATATAATATTCTATTATGAAACAAAATATTTTATTTTTCAATCAGGACGCATTTTGCATAAGGCATGGTTAAACAATTTTGCAAAAACATTGTATTTAGTTATCATAATAAAACCTACCTTATATTAATCATAGATATACATATACCTGGTTTGAGGATAAATCGTTATCATTACGCGATTTCATAAAAATTTAAAACTCAAACGCTCAAAACATTTTTCCTATAATGACGCTTCAAATTTTCTCTATAGCTATTTGAAAAAAAACTCATGGAAAACTTAGTGTTGAATTTTTCACCCTAGATATAAATACAAACAATTTTATGAATTTTGAACTACAAAAGTATTTACAAATATTCATGGTTTTGACGAATTTTTGTCAATATTTGAACTTCAAATGCTTAAACAAAAATTGTACATATGTATTCTTATAATTTTTTAATCACTATAAGAATAACTTATGAGAAACTTTGTATTAAATTTTCAAGTATTTTAATAGGGCCAAAAAAATATTATCGACACTTCAAAAAAAAATTTTCAGAAAAATTGAAAATTTCAGTTGTCTAAAAACATCTCAAAAAGTCAAAATATTTTGAAAATTAAATCATGTAAAGAAAATGCCAATCTAAATAACTGGTAAAATTTTAAGTTTATACGACTTATACTTTTTGAATAATAACAAATATTTAAAATCGTTTCAGGATAAATCGTTATCGTAACGCTATTTCGTAAAAATTTAAAATTCAAACGCACCTCAAATTTTTCCTATAATGACGCTTCGAGATTTCTCAATAGCTACT